GACTCGATTATAACAGCCCTTTTTGTGTCTCAACTCAAAGTCAAAGATGTCAATTTCATGGAACCATCGAATTAGCGTAGGGGACAGGGTAGCTTGCTCCTTGATCCACTTCAGAGTCTCATGATCTGAGAGCACTTTGAAGTGGCACCCCAAAAGATAGTGCTTCCAATGATCCAAAGCCATACGCAGAGCATAGAGCTCGCGCATGTAGGTGGAAGTGGCTACCTTTACGCTGGGCATGCATTTGCCGTAGAATTCGAGTTGTCGCAAGCCATCGCCGTCATCTTGCTGCAGCACTGCGCCTATACCATACTGACTTGCATCCGTAGTAACTACGAATGTCAGTTTGGGATCTGCAATGCGGAGTACTGGATAACTTACCAAGGCTTCTTTCAAAGCTTGAAAGGCGTTCGTGCACGCGGTGTTTCAAGAATAGGGAACATTTTTTGCTTGTCCACCGGGACAAAGGACGAGCAACAATAGAGAAGCGAGGGCACAAACTTCCGATAGTATGACGCAAGACCAAGAAAAGAGCGCAGTTCGCGGATGTTCGCGGGCTGAGGTCAATTGCGTATGACTTCAACCTTGGTTGCCTCAGGCTCTAGGCCTACCACAGACAACCGATGCCCAAGATAGATGACGCTATCCTTCCCAAACTCAGATTTCTCTAGGTTGAGATGGAGTTGCATCTTCTTGAGGATAGTGAGAACTTCCTCGAGGTGCTTGAGGTGTTCCTCCATGGATTTGTTGAAGATTAGTATATCATCGAGGTATACCACCACGAACCGGCCAATCTGTTCGCGGAGGACCTTGTCAATGTGGCTTTGGAAGGTGGCCGGTGCGTTCGTGAGACCGAAGGGCATTACGGTAAACTCGTAAAGCCCATCGCGTGTTTTGAACGCAGTCTTGTGCTGGTCCGCAGGATCGACTTCAATCTGGTGGTAGCCAGATTTGAGATCGATCTTGGAAAAGACCTTGCACCCCCTGCGGCATCAAGCAAGTCATCTATGCGGGGCAATGGATAGGCGTTCTTTCTTGTGATGCGGTTTAGACTGCGATAGTCAATACACATGTGGAGCTTGCCTCCTTTCTTTGGAACAAACAAAATAGGAGCACCAAATTCAGACTCACTAGGCTTGATCCACCCTTTGTGAATCATGTCGTCAATCTGTCGTCGGAGTTCCTCCAACTCGCCGGGTCCCATTCGGTATACGCAGCCCTTTGGAGGAACACCCTCGACCAACTCGATGGTGTGTCGGACCGATCGTGTGGGGACTCCACGCGGCTTGGCCAGAACTTTCGGGAACTGATCGAGCAGGTTTTGGATGTTTGGTGGAACCGGTGGAGGTGGAGGATCAGCAAAGGGATCAGCTAGATCAGGTCGCTGGTTGCGAATAGAGGCGACCGCATTTGAAGTAGGATCATTTGGACTAGTAGAATGTAGAGAAGTAGAGGTGCGAGAAGAAGTATTAGAAGTAGAATCACTGACTGAAGTAGTAGTGGTATCAACCGCAAAAGTAGATGGCACATGGGTAGGACGAACAAAGGCAACATACAACCGTTCGTCCTCTCTGTGCTTGCGCCATTTCTTGCAGAACTTCATAGCATTCAGAAAAGTCACTGGGGACGCGTGCTTCTCATCCAGGAGGACGGGGAACTCGTTCCCTTAGCATCTTTGACCATGAAAAGTGACTCCTTCCACTTGGTCCATTCGCATTGGGACTGCAGCCAGCCCAAGCGAAGGACAGCGTCGAAGGGGCACTTGTCAAGGATATAGAAGTTCAACGCGCGTGTGACAGTTTTGTCCTTGTCAAAGGTAGTGCGCACACCTTTGACTGCATGCGTAGAAGAGAACTTCTTTGTTGCCCACTTGGGTTCGGCAAGGGTTCTGCAAGGCCACTTGCTTCATTCCCAAGCCCACTTTGCGTATCCCATGAGGTGACATAAAGTTAGCAGTAGCACCACAGTCAATCAAGATACGGAGATAGCGGTGGTTTGTGAGAAGTTTGAAGAAGATCAACTTCCCTTGGGCACGCTGCTGTTTCATCTCATCCCAATGCTCCAAGTGGTAGTGGAAGTCGACCGTCCCCGACTCGCACAGGGAGCATTGGCAGTTCAGTCCCTGCACAGGTGATTTGCGTCAGTCTGGCCCCAGTACATTCAGCATCTATGACTGGTCCCTGTGCATGAGATGTTATACTGATCAGTTGTTGTTCAGCCGGGCCCTTCAGGCGGGCCTATTTGAGATTGTTGCTGTTCAGGCTCGACATACAAAACATTACACACTTCAGCCTTGGCTTTAGCAGATGATTGGGCTTCAAGGGAGGACTGCTGATTTGCATCACATTCAGTCTCTTTTGCTGTAGAGGATGCTGAAGTCGACTCTACGCCCGGTTCTGGTTTCACTGCAGCCGATAGCAATCATGTACCTTATGGTTCGGTTTCTGGCAATGCAAGTATACCCCCTCAGACTGGGGTGTCACTTTCCAACCCTCAGAGGGCCAAATTCGATGCATCTGACAAGTGGAGGTGAAGCGCCACAGTGAGAAGAGCAGGATGACCAAGTTTGAGCAGATTCTATATGTGGGAACACCAAAGACTGTTAGTTGAAGAAAGTGGCGAGAAGAGGCTGAGACTTCATCCGCTGATGCCTGGAACCGCAAAGTTCACCAGGCATTATCGTGTGGACATTGAGCCCGTGCCAGCCTGCTTAAAGCCCAAAAGGCTATGATTCAGCAGGCTAACTGGCACCGACGCCCCTCTACTATTCGCACAGGTGACTGCGCCTGGGTGCTGAGGACACTCACCTAAGCTGCTGCCATGATATATGGGTCCATGACAGGTTTTAGATATAGTGGGAGTTGATCCCTTTGGACCATCCTATGCTGTGGATGTCCCTCTGCATCTACAAACCTATCCTGTCTTCCATGCATCCAAGTTGTTGCTTTTTACATCAGGTGATGCATTTCCAGACAGACCCCCTCAGTTCGGTCCCCCGATCCCTGGCAAGGGATATGAGGTGGAATCGATTGAGGATGGGATAGGCACAGGCTCGGACAAACAGTACCTTGTGAAGTTCTCCTACCAGCCCCCCACTGAGGATCGCTGGTTCACTCGCAAAGAACTTCTCAAGACAGCGAAGTCTGTCGTCCTAAAATATGAGGCAGCCCAGAAGGGGGAACCCCTTCGGCGCTCTGCACGCCTACGCCCCTAAATCAGAGGTCCTCGCTCCGAGGGAGGGTAGGTCTGCAATGACTTGCTGGTTCTGTTGACTTGTAGACCGTCGAGTCGAGGTTGTGCCATAGGTAGGTCAGATTCGTAATTTTGTTTGGCTGAGGGCGAACCGCGATATCTGACTGTGAGGAAATTCGTGCGGGAGATATCTGCAAATTTGGGAAGTTATAGGCCGGCAACCCGAATTCCCTACAGCTACCCTAACTGCGAATAGCAGGCCCGGGCTATCCCTAGGACAGACAGGCCCTAAGGCCTACGCTGCTAGACGGTCCTATAGCCTATAGCCGGGTAGGGAGAGGCCCTAGAGGCCGAAACTGAAATGGTACCGGTCGGTCCAGTCAGTCCGGTCTAGGTGGAGTCTAGGCTAGTGTAGAGCTATTAATAGATTGTAGTAATCTCTTCGGGGCTTTTGGCAG